AAAAAAAAAAAAAAAAAAAAAAAAAACAGATTCCCTGGATTTTTTTAAATTGAAGTCATCCTTCCTGTCCCTCAAGATGACAAACAGTTCGTTTTTCTGTCCAGTTTACAGAGATTTGGAGCCATTCACATATTTTTTTTATTTAATTTTCCTTGTTGGAATTATTGGAAGTTGTTTTGCAACTTGGGATTTTATACAGAAAACTCCAAACCACAGATGTGTAAGCATATACTTAATTAATCTTCTTATGGCAGATTTCCTGCTCAGTTTGGCACTACCAGTGAAAATTATTGTTGACTTGGGTGTGGCACCATGGAAGCTGAGGATATTCCACTGCCAAGTCACAGCGTGCCTTATCTATATCAATATGTACTTATCGATTATATTCTTAGCATTTGTCAGCCTTGACAGCTATCTTCAGCTGATGCACAGCTGCAAGATCTACCGGATACAAGAGGCTGGATTTGCCAAAATGATATCAACTGTGGTGTGGCTTATGGTCCTGCTTCTAACGGTCCCAAACATGGTGATTCCCACCAAAGACCTTAAGGAAAAGGCCAATGTGGGGTGCATGGAATTTAAGAAGGAGTTTGGAAGAAACTGGCACTTGCTGACAAATTTCATATGTATAGCAATATTTTTAAATTTCTCAACCATCATTTTAATATCCAACTACCTTGTAATTCGACAACTCTACAGAAACAAAGATAATGAAAACTATCCAAACGTGAAAAAAGCTCTCATCAACATATTATTAGTGACTACTGGCTACATCATTTGCTTTGTTCCTTACCACACTGTCCGAATCCCATACACTCTCAGTCAGAGAGAAGTCATATCTAACTGCGCGACCAGGATTTCGCTATTCAAAGCCAAGGAGGCCACTCTGCTCCTGGCTGTGTCGAACCTGTGTTTAGATCCTATTCTGTACTATCATTTCTCAAAAGCATTCCACTTAAAGGTCACTGAGACTGTTGCTTCATCTAAGGAGATGAAGAATCAGAAAGAAAAGTCAAGATGTAAAAATGAGGTATAAAATATGGGACTGTTCATGCTATCACTTCCTACCTTACTGGATCACAAAGCTTCTTACAGCCTTGAAAGAGATAATAAAATCTTGATAATAAAAAATACAGAGAGCCAGCAACTGTGGGCTGCTTTACACGGAAACCTTGTTTCTAAATACAAACCAATCTTATGTTCTTACGGTTGTTGATACTTCTTAACCCAATGTTTGTATAAGAAAACTGAAGAGTCAAACCCTGTATCTTTAAAAGCAAAAGGAGGTTTATGACTTAATATTTTAAATGTCTGGAATTGATTTCTTGATGAAATATACAAAATAATACCTGTATAATTTGCTAGTAAGCCCTTCAATCACACACAAAATCTTTAAAGTTTTTGGTAAATACATTACTTCAAGAAATAATAACCTGTTTACTACCCTCTAATTTTTAGCACAAAAGGTTTTTTTCAACACAACAGCTAAAAACCTTCATTAATACAGATAAATTTTTACACTAAAAATACACAGATAAATTTTTAATATAACCTACATTCTACCTATAGGTTATAAAGGCTTCCTTCTGTAGGTAATGATAAATCTAGTGATTTCTTGTTTTCACTTTGTCATAATATTCAGTGCTCAGGGTCTATTGCATTTATAAGGGGAGTTGTTAAATTACACTAACTAGTGGAACTACTGTTTTAAAACTAGATACTCACAAAAGGTATGGAAAAACAGCACCAGTCAAATGATTTTAAAATAGACTCACAAGACTCAACATAGCAAGGCCATGTAAAGAACAGAGCATGGGCTATGCTGTGGTGCTGCTCAGGTCCAGAAAGCAGAACCTGACCCCACAGGGGTCTGCAATATAATTCAGGAGTGATTCCAGCTCTTGTGGCATAATTCTGGTCAAAGTCTTCCCACCAGCAGTGACACAGACAGGATTCAGTACATGACACTTAACTAAAGACTTATTAAAGAGAGGACTAGAAAAGTTAAGCATACCTGAGACTGTTTTCAGTGTTCCTATTGAAACAGTTGGTAATACATTTTTATTAGCTGCAATGTTTAAGAATAGTATTCTCGAAAGCCAGGAAAATAAGTTTGATTACAAACTTATTTTTGCACTTGAAGAATTATTTTCTTTTTTCCTTGTTTTTTTTTTTTTGAGACAAGGTCTTTCTATACAGCCCAGGCTGGCCTCAAATTTGTGGTGAATCTCCTGCCTCAGTATCCCAAATGCTAGGTTTACAGGCTTGGGCCACCAATCCTGCCTAAGAAGGCTAAGAAGTATTTTGTGAAGCTTAAAATTCTTGTCCACACTTTCACAAATGTATTCTCTGACTGTGAAGTGAATAATAAATCTTAAAATGCACAAAGTGCCTATAAAATAAGTGCTGATAAATTCTAGGTAGCTAGCATAATGACATCAACACACATGTGACAAAAACTTACTAAAGTATAGATGACTTACTAAAGTTACAGAGTGGAATGCCTATAAACTAGAACTTATACTTGTCAGCAGACTAAACAAAAACAGATCGAGTCATGATTCATATAAGAGCCTACACTAAATTTAATTTTTTCTGGACCTTTGATCAAGTTCCCTTTTGTTCTCTTCTCTTAGTTTTTACTCATTAAGGCTACACAGTAGAATTAGAGTTAAAGCTTTTTTTAACCATATCCTTATATTCTACTCACAGGCATGACAGGTTAGTCATATTTCCCGCATTCTACTGAGGATGAGAGTCAGGTTCTCAAGAGCAGTCTTACGAGCTGTATTATATTAGCACATACTTCTACTTCCCTTACTGATGGCTTCTTCTGAGTACACTTAAGGTAAAGGGGAGTTTAGAGCAACTGGTGGTGGAAAGCTATTTAAAAAGTTGTCTAGAAGTTCTATTATGATTACATTACAGTTGAATTGTGTCTTGATTCATCACTGGGAATCATCAAAATCTCTCCTCTACGGATGGCAGAAGCTGGGAAGAATTGTGTAGTCAAGGTCACAGGACCATTAGAATAAAGATATTGATGTATAGTGCCCTATTCAGACAACTGATATATGGAGTAAGACCTACAAAGCTCTACTTACCCAAGCAGGTAACTCTCAACCATTTCAATATTTTATTCTATCTCCTCATTTTTACTTTTATTTATATATAAGGTTTTTATTTTGGAGTAACATCAGATTTACAGAAAAGTTTCAAACATAGTGTAGAAAGCTCCCATATATATGCCACTGAGTTTCTCCAAATGTTAATGCCTTATACAACCACAGTACATTTACTGAAACTAAGGTGAATGTTGATGCATTAATATTAAACTTCAAACTTAACGTCCTTATTTTTACTCTGAATAGTGTAAAACAAACCCCAGACATACTGGTAGTCTATCCATGAATTCTTCAGAACACAGCTCTAAAATACATGGTCATCCTCTATGTTGCCCTAAATAAACTGTCAGATTTTTTTTTCTATTAAAAATTGCTGGTGTCTACCGGTAACAATTAGAAAGTATTGATATACTGGCCTAGGATTTAGCATGCCAACCAAAGCTCCTAGAAGAGAACTAGAACGTAACACACACTTATCAAAATTGCAGTTTGATACAGAAGAGCATCCTATGAAAAATGTGGCTCATTGAAATTGCCCTTACCATAAAATTGTAGAAAACAAAGTTAGTGAACCCCAGAATTTAAAATATTTTCAGAAATTAGCCCAATTTTCGTTAATAATATAAAAAATTAATCTTGGTTTCCTTTAGAATAAACATATCACACATAGTTAAACTCCAACACAAGGGAATAAAAAAAATTACAATGCATTATGCACATGTATCAACTTGCCAGAACAAATGCAATCATTATGTACTACAACCATGTACTAATTTTTAAAAAATGTTTAAAGCATATTTTTCGACAATCATGAACTTTTTCAATGTTCTAATTCTATTACATATTTAAAATATATATGTGAGGGGCCAGGGATTTAGCTCAGCGGTTTGGTGGCCTGCCTTGCAAGCGCAAGGACCCGAGTTCAATCCCCAGGACCAAAACAAAGAAAAACCCAGAAAAATAAATAAATTAATACATATATGTGAAATACGTTTCACTAGACTTGCAACATATGCAGGCAATGGAAAATAAAATGTGTTTCTATTAAAAAAAAACTGCAAACCTAAATTTCTCCATATCCTATCTAGTTCTTAATATCAAGTCCAAAGCCAAGGCAATCTCAACTATAATTTCTTCGAAGAAGTTTTACCCACTTTCTCAATCAGTTGCTCTCTTTTCCTCCAATATGCATTCTCTGAAAGCAGAAGGGACACAGGAATGCAAAACAGTAAACCTTCCAGTCGGCACTCAAGAGTGCCTACAAATAATAAAACTAATGAGTGTTTCTCATGCTATAAGCATTTGTCTCTCTTCTTACTCATCTTTTCTGTTCCCCTAAAGTCTTGATCATCTGTATAATACACAAAGTACCTATCACTATATGGTACACATAAAAGCTACTCCATAAATGACTTTAAAACTATAGTAGGAAAATACATTTACATATCATTTGCAATGACCCAAATGCTTTTGATGGAAGAACAATAATACAGAAAATTCTGTTAAAGCTAACCAGCCACTAATATTACAATACAAACTTGGACTACAATCAGCTCATTAACTCTATGACTGGAATTACAAATAACAGGTCAACAAATACAAAAAGTCACCTGATATCTTTATGTGTAAGCCAGAAAGGTAGGTAAATTATCTGACACTCAATTCTTAATGACCTCCCAATAAAATAATTAGGGTGTAAAGTAATGGAAGCAATGACTTACCAGAGGTATAGGAAAATGTGTTGCATACTGCAGGTGACGGAGGAGGTCATAATTAGATGGAAAAATTAATTCCCTCGGCTTTTCCCTCTTTGCCAATTTCTCACCATTAATGGACATTCTTCTGCCCAAGGAGGAGTTGGTATTCTCACAGGACTCTCCGGGCATGGGAGAAAAGATCTAAGTCATGTAAAACAAATGTTGGAAATTGTAAATGAAAGAAAACAAAATCAAGCCATAGTGTTACAAGCTAGAATTTAAAACACACAAGATGTTCATACAGGATCTTTTTCTATTTACCAACTAAGCAAAAAACAGTAGAAATTTTATTTCCATAAAATTCATGTTCAGATCAGCAGGAATCTGTATTATCCCACATTTAGATAATAGAAAATGAAATCCATACACAGGTTTAAAAAAATGTGCCTATACCACCCAAAGACCAGAGATAAAAACAGACTTATAGGTAAATGCTATCCTCATATAGGGCTACATTTCTTCCAAAAACACAATAATAATTAACTAATAAGACTAATGAATAATAGATATCAAGGTTTTAACATGCACGCCAAATGATTTTGGAGTTATACCCTAGAATTCATGAGAAACAAACAATAAGTATTCTGAGAAACAGCAGAAGAATGAAAGTACAAGTTCGGAGATGAAAGCTCTTCCTTAGAAGCTCAAGACACACATATACACAGTGAGTCAGCACGGACTGTCAAGATGAAACTGCACTCATGCATTCCTGAGAAACAATCTCAAAATGAATTAAGAGTCACAGTCAGTGAGGAGGACAGGGCGCGTTATAATTGGCAAAGGAGAAAATACAATTAAAACTGAGGATGAACTGAAGTTATAAAACTGTAGGACAGGATCACTGTGACTCAGGGTGGCTCATGGTAGAATCACATTCACATCACAGGTGTACAAGTCATTCTGATACATGGGGCAAAAAACAAAAGGACAGGGACAAGTTGGGGTGGGAGGGGGTGGGTTAAATGTCAATAAGAATTGAATGTTGAACCTACTGGAAACTCCGAACCAAAGTCAGTTTTAAAGTCACTCTTGTCTACTTCATCAAAAATGTTAGTGGTTCCTGAGTCAATGCCCATATGCGCCATAATACTCTGTTCCTGATAATTGCCAGAGAAAGAAAGTCATGTTGTAAATTCTGTAGCTTAATAAACTGA